CAATAACTTGGTCACCTGGGTTGTTGAACATCTCATTGCCCTTGCTCTCCCGACGCAATGACTTGACTTGACGCCCGCCAGTTCCCACCGTCGTCGCATCGTCGTTCGTGCGGGCTTCTCGTCGCATCGGTCGTTCCGTTCGCTCGAAGTTCTCACCGCTGCGATGGCTAGGTTCTGGCGCGCGGCGCTGCGGCGCGCGCCGTCGTGGGACGCCGCGCTCGCGCTGGCCGCGCCGCTGGGCTGCGCGGGTCTGCTCGCCGAGGCGCACGCGCGCACGGACCTCGCGGACGCGGAGCCGCCCGCGGCCGCCGCGCACGTGCCGCTCGCGCTCGGCGCCGGCGCCGCGCGACGGCTCGCGGCCGACGGCCTGCTCGTCGTCGACGGCGCGCTGTCGGCGCGCCAGCTCGCCGCGGCGCGGCGCGGCGCGGCGGCGCTGGCGCCCACACGCTTCGCGCGCGCGGGCGACCACGGCGAGCGCGGCGACCGCGTCTGCTGGGTCCGGCCCGACGACGCCGCCGCCGGCGACGGCCTGCTCCTCGCCGTCGCCGTGGTCCGCGGCGTCGCCGCCGCGCTCGAGCGCGACGGCTACGCGGCGACGACGCGCCACCGCGTCCCGCGCCAGTGCCAGCTCGCGCGCTACGACGCGGGCGCCAAGGGCTACGACCGCCACTTCGACAGATGCGCGCTCGGCGTCGCGGAGCTCGGGCTCCTCGAGTGGCTCCGGCTCAGCGACTACCGCGGCCGGGCCATCACGGCGATCCTCTACCTCAACGATGCAGACTGGGACGCGGACCGCGACGGCGGCGCGCTCCGCTGCTGGAAGGGCGGCGACCACCTCCGCGACGTCGCGCCCCGCGGCGGGCGCCTCGTCATCTTCGACGCGAGCGCCGTCGAGCACGCCGTCCTCGCGTCGACCGCGCCGCGCGCCGCGCTCACGTGCTGGGTCTCCGGCGAGCGCGCTGGCGGCGGCTAAAGTTCCCGGGGCGTGCGACGAGAACGTGGCGGGGTTCTTTGTCATGCTCGCACCACGCGGTCGAGGCGTTACGCCGAGCCCGAGGTTCCTCTTCATGTGGCTCTGCACTACGCGGCCGAGGCGTTACGCCGAGCCCCTCACTAGGCGTTGACGAGGGCCCTGAGCGCGGCCTTGACGCAGCCCTTGTGGATCCGGAGCTCGCGGTCGGCGACGTCCTTGGAGACCTCGAGCTCCTTGACGATGAGGTCGACGTCCTCCTTGTTCACCTCGACGGCGGCGAGCTCGAGCTCCCGTTGCCTTTCGGCCTCGGCGCGCTCGTCGACGGTCGTCTCGATGCTCGACATCGCCTGCGGAAACGCGCGCGGCGTTCGTCGCGAAACGATGGAGCGCAGCGGCGCGGCGCGCGCGATGAGGCGCGCGCGACGCAGAAACGGAGGCGACGCGGGGGCGCGCCTGCATCGCCTTGGCGCTGTCGAGGCCCGTCTCCTCGACATAGTCCGTCACCTATGCGACTTCGGCGTCGGCGCGGCGGCGATTGCGCGCACGCGGCGCGCGTCGCACCTTCTCTAGGCCGTCTTTCGCTTCGTTCTTCGCCATGGCTGGGCGGCGGCGGCGCGCGTCGTCGGGGCGCTCGCTGCTGCAGCGTCGCAGCACTTGGCCTGCTCGAACAGCTTCGCTGAAAGCCACAGGCTGAGGTGAGAGCGCCGCGGCGGCGCGCGCGCGCGCGACTGGGCGCGAACACGGCATTGCGACGCGACTGGGCGCAAACACACGGACGCGACTGGGCGCGAACGCGGCATTGCGCGATGCAGCGGCGGCGCTGGAAGGTGAGAGACGTCGTCGAGCTGGCCTTAATCCTCGGCGGCTTGATCCTCATCGGCAGTCCCTTCTTCCTGCTCGGCGGCCACTTCGCCACCCACCCGCCGCCGCAGCAGCAGCGCGCGACGACGGCGCGGCCGGCGCGCAAGAAGTACGCGCCGCCGAAGCAGACGCTGCTGCGGCGCGAGCCGTCCTGGACGCCGCGCGAGCCGGCCTACGGCACGCTCTGCGGCGTCTTGGACGCGTGGGACCCGCACGCGCCCGACGTGCCGCCGGGCTACGTCGACGCGCTGCCGCGCTTCGACGCCGCGCGACCCGAGGACCGGACCGCCGCCGCGGCCTACCGCGACGCCGAGCTGCCGTTCATCCTGTACAACGTGTCCGCGCTGCGGCGCGCGACGGCGCGGTGGACGCGGGCCTACCTCCGCGACCGACTCGCGAAGACGAGCTACAAGGTCGAGGAGAGCGTCGCCGGCCGGTCTTTTGTGTATTACGCCAAGGACGAGCGCGCGCCGGCGGGCTGGACCGCGCCGCAGGTCGCCGTGGCCATGACGCCGCGGGAGCTGGAAGCGGCGTTGGACGCGAAGAATCGGTCGCGGCTGTACTACGCGACGATCTCCGCGTCCGAGGGCCGCCGCCAGGCGTGGATCCGCGACGATCTGCCGTTCCTCGCGCCCCTCGACAAGGCGCGGCCCGGCGCCGTCGCGGGCGACGACTGGTGGCGCGACGCCGAGGGCGGCTCCGACGAGCCCCTGTCGGCGCACTTCTTCATGCGGCCCGGCTCGACGCGGCGCTGGAAGGGCATCAACTGCCGCCTGGGCATGCGCGGCGTCCAGCAGACGGCGCACTACGACGGCAAGCGGAACTGGATCGCCGTGATCGCGGGCGCGAAGCGCTACGTGCTCCAGCCGCCGCGCGCGTGCGCCGCGCTCGAGCTCCTCGGTCGGGGCCACCCGTCGGAGCGCCACGCGTCCTTCGACTGGGCGGACCCGGCGGAGCGGCGACGCCGCGCGGGCGGGCCCTTCTGCGACGCGCCGGCGGTAGACGTCGTCGTCCGCGAGTCGGACCTGCTCTACCTGCCGTCCTACTGGTTCCACTACATCGTCTCCGCGACGCGGTCCGTCCAGTGCAACGCGCGCACGGGCCTCTCGCGGAAGCGCGAGGGCTGGACCGACATCGAGCGCTGCGGCTTCGGAGCGCCGGACTAAGGACTGCATGGTGCCCCCCCAGACGTTACTCGTCACGTCGGATTCGCGCGCATGAGGAAGAACGTGCCCGGGAGGATGACGCCGTTGAGCAGGACCTCGAGGATGGCCGTGAAGGCGAGCCAGTGCGTCGCCTTCTTCAGGGACCGCATGAAGGGGTACGGGTAGTGGCCGCCGCTCCAGCCGAAGTTGAGGCACGTGAGGCCGCAGTAGAACGGCGGGTACAACGACGCGAACAACGTGACCTTGAACATGGCGTCGGCCGTCAAGGGGTAGACGTCGGGCCGCTTCGCGAGGAAGACGTCCAGCAGCGCGACGGGCAGCGAGGGCAGGTGCGCCGCGAGCGTGATCTCCGTGAAGTTCAGCCGCTTGTTCATCTCGTGCAGGACTTCTTTTCGCCACGTTTCCTCGAACCAGTTGAGCTTGAGAAACAGCACCGTCAGCGCGATGCCCACGACGGCGGAGAAGCACGCGAAGGCGTGGGTCATCGCCACGAGGCGGCCGTCGAGCAGCAGCTCGCCGAGGAACGAGAGGACGCCGTGGCTGCACTGGATCGTCAGAGCGTGCTTCGTGAAGAAGGCGTAGGGGCCGAGGTAGTTGCCGACGGCGTAGGCCGCGCTGCCCTTCAACGAAGGCGGGTTGCGGTAGGCGTCCGTGACGAGCGAGAAGCAGACGGCCGCCGCCAGGAGCCCCGAAAAAGCGCACCGCGCGGGCGAGAACGACAGCGGCGCCGCCGCCGGCTCGAACGTCCGCGACGCGGCGCACATGAGCGCCGTCAGCGCGACGAAGACGACCCAGCACCAGGCCACGATGCGCCGCTTCGTCGCCGCGTCCTCGGGCGTGTAGCCCATCTCGGCCCAGTGCGCGTCGCGGTCCCACCATCGATGGGCCCGCTCCCGCGCGTTCCGCAGGCGCTGGCGCGACCGGCCGCGGCCGCCGCGGCCCATGGCGACGTGGGGAGGTGGTTTTTAGAGTCGAGTCCGGCGAGGACGAGCGTCGAGCCCGGTCTCGTGCGGCGAGCGCGCGCAGAGCACACGAGAATCGCACGCCGACGCTGCGACTGGACTGATGCTCGCCGGCGTTGTGGCAAGAGGCTCAAGGAGCTGCCCCCTGCGCCTCTTGGAGGTGTTGGAGGTGGTCGCCCCCGCCGCGCGAGGATGGCCTCCTGGGCCAAGTACTCGGTCCTGTCGTCGCTCGTGACGAGCGCCGTCGTCTACTACGCCTTCGCGACGCGGGAGCAGTTCTACCCGACGGTGGTTTACCTCGTCACATCCAAGGTCTGCGTGCTGTGCCTCGGCAACCAGGCCATCGTCTTCACGCTCCTCGTCGGCCGCATCTCGAAGCAGCTCTTCCTGGGGAGCCTGCGGGAGATCGAGGTCGAGCTCCTCTACGAGAACTCGCGCTACGCCATCACGGAGACGCGCGTCGCCCCGCGTCGCCCTCGCGCGAAACGCCGCGGAACCCCCCCCCCCAAACCTAGGTGCCTGGCCCTGACGATCTTCCGGGAGGAGCTGACGACGCGCGTCTTCGCGCTCTTCACGGCGCTGCTCTTCGCCAAGGTCTTCCACTGGCTCGTGCAGTCGCGCGTCGAGCACGTCGAGCACGCGGAGCGCGTCTCGACTTTGAGCCACTACCGGCTCGGCGCGCTCATGCTCTGGCTCTACGTGCTCGACGGCGCGGCCCTGTCCATGTGCGCCATCCTGTGCATCCGCAACGGGCCGAGCGTGCTGCTCCTCTTCGGCTTCGAGTTCGCGATCCTCGCCGTGAGCCTGTGCGCGGCGGCGAGCCGCTACGGCCTCTTCGCCGTGGAGCAGCGCCTCTACGAGGGCCAGTGGACGGCCAAGGGGTCCTACGTCTTCGCCGTGGACTTCGTGGCCGAGGTCCTGCGCTTCGCGTTCTACGTCGTCTTCTTCACGATCGTCTTCACGTACTACGGCGTGCCTCTGCACATCGTCCGCGAGCTCTGGGTGTCGTACGTGTCGCTGCGGCGGCGCCTCGCGGCCTACAAGCGCTACCGCGCGTTGACGGCGAACATGGACGAGCGCTTCCCGTCGGCGACGGACGAGGAGCTCGACGCGTGCGGGCGCATCTGCATCATCTGCCGCGACGGCA